TTCGGCATCATTTAGAAACGTGTATTACAATTTAATCACGGTCAAATATGTTCATTTTGTTGTAGTTGTAGCTCCCGAGCCAGCGCGTCTTGTTTGAATGACGCAAGTAAACACAGCTGACTGCCGCGGTGAAACTCGAGCGTTAGAGCGATGCAATAGGAGCGATTAGAGCGAAGCGAATATTCGCATCGCGTCCGGTGTGAACGCAGCATAACGTTGAAGTTATTTTTATACTGCACCTTGACCTTCTTCCACATTTAGCACTCTTGTAACCTAATAGTGATATCAATCGACCAACCTTTTTGATTTTCAACAGACTTTTGATTATGTCACCAACAGACTATTAACTATTCATATTGATGCCCTGTTGTTCTCTCATTTTGTTGCTGTGTTTTAGTGGCATTTTATAATTCCTGCTTCAGTTCATTCACACATCCTACTAAAACTTTGGAAATTCTAATACGGTTAAAGATCTTTCACTTTCACATCGTGAATTCTGAATTATTTGGTCAACTGGTCATCATTAAGCATGAGCAGACCTTTGCTCTGGTATAACTTCATTTGTAAATCAATCTTTGGACTGGTGCCCACCTATTTATCTACACATGTCATTTAACCAGTGCTGCCATAGCCTAAGCTTCCAGCACTCCATCACTGCCTCAATCCCCTCAGTCCATATGGAAAAAACAACGTTCTCCCACTCTGCCCCCTCAACCGGGAATGTCCTTTATGTCTGTAACTTTGTGTTGTATTCCTGTTGTATCTTGACCACGTCTCTCCTGAGAAAGAGACCTGCATGGCGTCTCAATAAGATAACCTCTAGATTAGTTTTACATTGAAGAATAATGAAACACAGGCAAATAGCAAAATGCTTTAATTGTTGCCCGTCTTTTGTGCCAATACTGTGCACATATCTGTATTTCTTTGATCTCCTTCTGAATTTCTTTCAAATCCCTAAAGTTCATTTGAGCACCTTGAAGCTTTTATTTTTATAATCCAGACTTCAGTTTGGATTTGACGCTGTAAAATGTAGTACTTTTGAAATAGATACGAGTCCTCTGTGTTACTTTGACTTTATTTATTATATTCTTTCCTGTCAACTATCATGAACTTCTCTAACATCTTTAAACATCCACAGTTCTATTTTCCTGATCTCTGAACCTGAATGCCACATACCACATTTTCATTCATCTGGAAACATTTAAGGTCACATTCAGATGTAAAAGTGATGTTGTCGTATTGGACTAGCCAGCACTGTAAACGGGTGGCATTTGGATGATGTGACATTTGCTTCCGCACATTAGACTTCCTCAAGCCAAGCTGTTCTGAGTTACACTGACATAAATTGGGGTCAAAAGTCGTACAGATGCACTCTGATATGATTGGCACTTGGGAGACTCATGGTTTAACACTTCGGGGATTATCCTCCATTTTCCAGAATGTTCTGCCTAGAGACTCTGAGGAAATGACCTCATGATGGGCTGATGGGGGTGGGGGGTATGTCTGTGTAGTTGCATGATCAAGATCTAAGGAAGATTGCATTGGGATCTGGAAACAGTGCTTCAGTGCAGCAATCATATAATATTGTAATATAATAGAAAGTAATGGTTGGAAAAGGGGATTTCAGCTGGGACTAGGCCCACGGCTATACTGCATGTCTGAATCCTGAATATATTGCCCTCTGTCAATGGATAAATTGCCGAAAGGTTAAAGCTTATAGACTACAGGGCCACAGCTTTAGGTTTTCTGTATACCTGTTTTTTCCCAGTGAGTTAGCAATGGGAATAATATAACTGAACCCAGTTTCACAGGAAGGAATCCAGTAATGTTCTTTAAATGCAAAGCTGAGATCAAAACCTGGAAAAGCAACTGACTGCATGTGTGTTTATGTGTATATGTTTAGGAATACACTGATTGCATGCATTGTTTCAAGCTATACGAACAACTGTGTGCTGTGTTATGTCTTCTCATTGTCTCTTTTCCTCCAAGCCCCCAATCGTCTTCCCCATTATCCATTATTCCACTTGTAAGCATATCTAAATATAGTCCAAGAATTGCTTAGGGGGCACTCTCTTAGTAGTGGTGGTTATAGAGAAGACGGGGTATTTGCTCTAATTGTAAATGCATGTGTGGAGCCTGAGCTTGGGAAAGAGAGGCAGAGAACCTGGCAGTTTCTCCTGGCGCTCACTGTTTCCCAGCTGCTGTGCAGCTTATTTGTCCCTTTCAATGTGGGGTGCTCCTAGGAGTGGACATTTTGCCTTTGCTAAATACCTTTTCAAATAACTCCTTACCTCAATACAAGTTTCAGACACTTACACAACACACATGGAGACAAGCCCAGGCCCTTTTCTGCCTTCACTCCCTCCCCATCGCTTGGAAAATCTTTCATTTCTACAAAAAAGAAGTGCACACATCCTGTCTTCATTAGACCAGGGAAAGGAGAGGGCTCTGGCAAGGCTGATCCTATAGAAGCCTGGACGAACAGAACAAGCCGGCCTGCTGCTGCTGCTGCTGCTGCGTTTTATATGGCTCTTGTTCTTAGCCTTTGATGACACTGTTTAGAATAGGAAATATCTAATAAGTCAAGTATTCTGTCTAATGTGCTGCCAGTGGGTTTAGTATTTGCCTGGAGGTCTTGAAACCCTATCTACGCCACAGCAATAATATACATTCGGAATTCTCATGGAGTGGGTGGAAGGGAGTGATGTTGAGAGAGAGGGGGGGGGCTGCTGAGAATACATGTGGTAATAGTAACCATGTGCAGGTTCAAGCAGGCGAGGGTGGGATAGGATGAGACATCTTTTGAAAACTCTCTTTCTTTATGTCTCATCTATTTTCAATTGATCACACTAGTGTCAATAGATAGCAGTATCTAATTGAAACTGGCATAGTACCCTTTAACATGAATGAGAAACATGGGGGAAAGGCTTCAATCATGGGGTAACAGGATTGGACATTATTGGAGCTGATGATGATGAATTGGTAATAGTTGTTTTCATGACGCACCTGACAGCTAACCCTAACCTGCAGCTATCAGACGAGTGTTTCATTATGTCGCACTGGTTAGTCAAACTGAAGCAGCCTCACATGTTTGCATGTGCTTTCTATGACTTCAGTTATATCTTTACTATTATATATTTTTACAATTTTACTATGGATTACTGTTTATGAAAAAAGTGCTTTTGTGGGGCAGGTTCTAAGAGTTTGTTCTCAGCATTTTAAAATATATTCCATGCCCGTTTTAAAAGTAAACACTTGTTTTTATTCAATTTGTACCCACACATGTCAGTTCCATTTAAATGTCCAGTCATTTATAGTTTTGAAGGTAGCGTTTAGTTTCCTTTGTTGTCTCATCTCTGGGAGTCGGTGCAGTAGTTTATATTCATGAAGATGACATGCTATGGGAGCAGAATAAAGATGCCTGCATTGTCGCTTGAAACCTACAGTACATTGATTTATATAACCTGTCACTGAAGCTTGTATTGCCACAATGGCTGGACCCCTCCCGACATCCCGACAGTTGGAGCCAAGCAAAGAATCTCGGCTGCTTTAAAAACAATACCACAGGCTCTGCACAAAACAACTGGATTTCCCGGGGTGAGGCCCTTTTTAAGACATTTCCAATATTGCAAGAATTGCAAAATGATTTTAAGACCACAAAGCATGCATTTGATGTCTCTGTTGCTTTGTGATGCTCTCCTTCTTCAGTCAATTTGTATATGGTTTCAATCAAGCAATTGATTTGGTTAGTGTCCTCTTGTAGAGTCAAACGAGAAACAAAGAAGAAAATAAAAAATGCTCTCATCGATTTGTATGTGATGCTCTGATCCTCCTCTGTGCTTCCCACAGTATCTTGGTTCTGTTGGAGATAATGCACACTGTTTTGATGCAAATGTAACTGCTCGCTGTATCCAGTTATTTGAATGCATCCATGAGTTACACAGGTAGCAGCTTCCCTTTGCACGCTCGCCACACAGACACACACAGACACACACACATATACACAGACACACACACACACAGACACATATACACACAGACACACACACACACAGACACATATACACACAGACACACAGACACACACACACACACACACACACACACACACATACACACACAGACACACACACACACAGACACAGACACATATACACACACACACACACAGACACACACACACACACATACACACACAGACACACACAGACACATACACACAGACACACACACACACAGACACATATACACACAGACACACACACACACAGACACATATACACACAGACACACAGACACACACACACACAGACACACACACACATACACACACAGACACACACACACACAGACACAGACACATATACACACACACACACACACACACACACACACACACACACACACACACATACACACACACACACAGACACACACACATATACACACAGACACACACAGACACAGACACATATACACACAGACACACACACACACAGACACATATACACACAGACACACACACACACACAGACACATATACACACAGACACACACACACACACACACACACACACAGACACATACACACACAGACACACACACACACAGACACAGACACATATACACACATACACACAGACACACACAGACACACACACACACACACACACACACACACACAGACACACACACACACACATACACACACAGACACACACAGACACACACAGACACACACACACATATACACACACACACACACACAGACACACACACACAGAGACACATACACACACACACAGACACACACACACATACACACACAGACACACACAGACACACACATACACACACAACACACACACACAGACACACACACAGACACACACATACACACACACACACACAGACACACACACATACACACACACACACATACACACACACACACACACACTGATAGTGAACACAGCCTAACTGTCTCTGTATATGTGCAGGTGTGTGGTTTGGAGCAGAAGCATGGCGGCCGGGACCCAGCAGCAGGTGTGGACTCGTCCTCCCGTCTCAGCGGGACAGGGAGGGACAGCGGCTTCGGCAGTGACAGCGCTTGCATCCGCATCGTTCAGATCGAGCAGCAGAGCGGGGCCAGCCACCACCGCATCGCCCGGCCCTCACACACCTCCACCATCACCAAGAACCTCAGCTTCATCCCCTTTGACATCTTCCTCACAGCGAGTAGACTCTCCGTCATGACCTACGCATGCTCCAGCCCCCCGAAGGCCCTCCCCTCATCGTCTGACACCCCCGGCACCCCCGAGAAGAAAGAGCCCGGGGATAAGGTAAACACAACGCATGTTACATGGGAACTCACTCTTGAGTCATTTCCTGGATTTGTCAGTTGTCCATGTGTGTAGTTGTTCAAACTATACACAATAGCAATATGTGTTATTTATGTGAGTATTGTAGTGGGTTATAAGTACAAAGGTTTAATTATACACAGCTTTCAAATAAACTGTAACATTTTTAATAACATTTTTGTTGATAGTTTATATTGTAACAGAGATTTGTACAGTACTATGAATAATTGTGATATTCCACTCAATCTGTCTCAGCCCATCTAGCTGAATGTACATGTGTGATGTATATTTTAAGCGGCTCCTCAAACAATGTCCACGTTAATGTGATCTAGGCTCATGTGTAAGGGAAAGACTTCTTGGCACCAGCTTTATACTGTCACAATAAAACAAAATACAAAACATAGTTGACCTAGGCATTTAGAACTCAACAAATACTTTGACTGCAAAATATATATATATATATTTGACATTGCTGATGTTATACGATAGTGGCTAATAAATACAACTATTTAAAAAAAGAGGTTGATTTCCGGCAGGTCCTCCAAGCAGTAGATATATGCAGTATGCATAGCATGAACATGATCTGTGTAAACTGCATGATGCTGGTGAGTTATCTTCTTATTGAATCAATTTCAATAAATATTCTTCCTACATCTTCTTCAGGTGGGAAAAAGTGCTCTGAACCAGCCTGAGATCCTGCCTGAGTCTCCTCCAGCCTCGACCCCCCCCACACCAGACCCCGCTGCAGTGGCCCAGGTTTCTCTTGCTGGCCTCACCGCTGAGGACATCCTCAACAGCAACAACTCCCAGACGGCCTTCCCCCTACTGAGAGGCAGCCTGCTTTCCCTGGGGGGCCTGCCGACGCCCAGCCGCTCCTCCGCACGCCAAGCCCTGGGTGTTACCATAGTGAGGCAGCCGGGGAGGAGAGGGGCGGGGGACCAGGTTCTGGAGCCCCTCCTGTACATCCAGGTGATGCAGCCTTCTGCTCTGCTCAGCTGCCACCACCGCAAGCAGAGGATGGAGCTCTCTGTGTTCGACGTGGCCTTACGAGGAGTCCCCTCTGACTACAAGTGTTTGGGTAAGAGAGACCAGATGAGCAGAGGAGAGTGGGAACGTTTCTGTGGGAAAAGGTTCTTACGGGATTTTGTATGACTAAAGGGTGGGATTTAAATCCTCCCTATTTAAATGACAGGGAATGTAACTTTGCTACCAATCCATTATATCCATAACATGTCAGACTCTAAAAGGGTTTGATGTGAAATATGTTGACACCATGTCTTTGTCTGTTCTGTTTTCTTCCATTTCTCCTATTTTTTTTCCTCTTTCTTTATCTTTTCTTTTCCAGACCCAGGAAAGACTCTGCCAGAGTCTCTGGACTACAATGTGTTTTGGATGCAGACAATAGCAGGAGAGGTAGACAGCAAAACAGGCATCCCCCCCCCTCTGCTCTGCCTCCAGATCAAAGATTTCCTCAATGGACCGGGTGGGGATCATACATACACACGCACGCACGCACGCGCACACACACACACACACACACACACACACACACACACACACACACACACACACACACACACACACACACACACATTGTTCAACGAATGCCACATTTTAAGGCATCCGTTTTATATGTAATCCCATGTCAGGGGTAACATCCACCACTGTGACGCAGCAAGAAGACACACACATGCACATACACACTGATCATAAAACATCCCAGAGTCAAACACAAAGATCTACTTTTCTGCTATGTGTGTAGATGATGAGCAGTCTAAAGACCATTGTGGCAGGCCACTGATATTGATTATACTCACTTTGAACAAGCTCCTGGGAATGTTTGTGTGTGTGTAATGTCAGGCTGAAATTTGCATTTCACAGGGTTTGGTTCTCTATTTTTAGACTGATGTCATATCCATATGAGCAGCTTTAAGCTAAGGTTGTTGACCTAAGGGTGAGGCTGACATCCTACCCAAATAGAAGAGCGGTGAATAAAAGTGTGAGTGGGCTTTTCCGTGTGTGAGTGTGTGCAGCCTTGTTATCCCTATGATTGTTTCATGAATAGTGTGTGTAGGCGCAAGACATCCTTCAAAGTTCAGCTCCCTGAAGCCAGCAGGCCAGATGCTGCAGATACACACACATATAACTACAGATATGCTTTGACATATCTCTGTCTTTCGTCCACATGCATACAATCATGAACTCACACTGTGCATGTGTACAATGAGGAGCTCTAGGCTGAACTGTAGATGTTATTGATGATGGTTCGGGGAAGCGTATCGCCCCCTCGCCCACCATCCCTTCCTGCTGTCAGCGGAAAGCCCTAAGCTTCTCTGTCGACCTGGAATCACATCCCACAATGCAGCTCTCTGTGCACCACAGCAATCCCACAACACAGCCGCGCAGCACCAGTGTCCATCCGCCCCTCTGCTCGCTCCACATGGCGCCAGCAGTCAGATTACAGCGCCATGACCTTCCTATGCTGAATTACTTCAAAATGCACTCATGTTTTCAGTTAAGAGGTTAAATATGGTTCCTCTCCGATGGGAATTCACTGTGTACAGAAGGAACAGGCTGATGTATAGTGAGTCAAATATCCTTTAACATAGATAGGATATACTGACATCGGATCTCCCTTTGCAAAAAAGGAACAACAGTGGAAGGTTGAATAAATATTAAAATAGATCTACATTCACTTTGTATATTTATTTATATAACATTGAATGATGGTCTTATGTGATGTATTAACAGGATGTTTTACTGAATAGGGTTAGTGCCTGTCATGTCTTTGTTACATTACACTGAGGTTACATCTGATTCTTGTGTTTAGTTGAAGCGCAGATGTCGACATTACATTACAGTCAGGTGTTTCCTTGAACTAGGAAAGAGCAGAGCTCATCTATCTCAGAAGTATAACTTCAATCATAATCACTCACATTCATCCTCTACATACACACACATGTAAACAACACCCTCCCCAATATCTCAGACAGGATCCAGGCTCAGTGTGAGGTTGCCCCAGGTCAGGCTGTGCTGGAAATATAAATAATTGACCACACACACACACCCACACACACACTCACACACACTCACACACACACGCACACACACATGCACACACATCTGTTCAATTGTGAGTTGTTTGGGAAGATGACTCCCCGGTTGAGATAGTTTTCCTCTTCAGGAATAGGGGAGCAGAGAGTGCAGACCCTGAGCAGATGCTGACTTAAACTCATCCCTCATGTTTAGACAGTTAACAGAGAGAAAGTCAGAAATGTTTATCAGGCTGAACTGAAGCTTTAGCATCGTCATCAGCAGCATTTATAAGAAGATTTAGTGTAGGCTTGAACTGGTAAGGCTTGTGTTAATGCTTGTTTCAACTCTTTTGGGTTGAGGTGTAGGTATTAATCAAATTTGAATACAGTACAATAACGACTGAGGAATCAATGAATGAGAAAAGTGGAAGGGAGGAAAACAATCTGTGTGTGTACGTGCGTGGATGGTGTTTTGGCACTGACCCTCACTCAGCAGCTACTCATCACACACACGCACGCACGCACACACATGCACACACACACACACACACACACACACACACACACACACACACACACACACACACACGTATAAGCACTAGTAATGCGGATACATACAGGAAGCCACATGTGTACAACAGGACGGTTGAAGGCTTGATCAGCAAACACATATGAAAACAGGTCTGGGGATGGGTTCGTTTTTATCAACATAAGCAGGTCGACAAGTGGTTGACCAGCGAACATACAACACACACACCAACACGAAATCTCTCTCATCTTTCCTCCACCACTTCCAGTCTTTGAGAGGGTCAGTGAGCGAGTCCAGAGATGTAACTGCTACCACTTGGAGAGAGAAGCAACAGGTGATAGATTAGCTAGAACAAATTGGAACCATTATTCTCCTGTGTCCCTGGATCTCGTCAAGCTATGGGTACATAGAAAAGTTGTCAGTTACTGTATACAAGCCTGTGCCCCTCCGAACCATCCAGAACCTCTTAATTTGAGTCAGATGCTATTTGAGGCGTGAGTCACTGACCCTACTTGGTTTGAGGCTTTTTTTTGACAGTGGGATTCTACAGATACCCCCCCAAAAAGATGATTGGGCCTTACAAACACAGACATACACACATACCCTACACACATGGACCCTGTGTAATCGGACACAGTGTCACCTGTGTCAGACTCAGGGTTCCTGATGTCAAGAGTCAAGCGTAAAAGTCAGCTAGAGAAATCAAAGGTGAGGTTGAAATGAAAACAATGTTTGTGGTGGTAGCACATATAGAGCCAACACCAGGTTCAAAGTGGGGACGGCGTCATGCATGACATCTCCAAAAAGGCACAGTTACTTGGGTAATAAGCATATTTGATCCGCCCACCACTTGCACAGTTATATAAGAGTGTGTGCTGTGCCAGACTTTGATCTTCAGCGCTAATAGAGGCTGACACTTGAGAAGGGCCAGTCTATGATTCCCCCCAGCATGTTCACATTAAGTCCTGTTCTTTAAAGGTATGAGAACACCAACACCACCTCTCAACCTCCAGGCTTGATGCCTGCTCCTTGCACAGGCTTCACTGACAGCCTCCAGCTGACAATAGCCAGTAGTCGTACGGCTGAAGCAATGTGTGTCCAATGAAAACACTCATATGTGTTACAATGCCACTGCTGGAAAAGCCCTCGTTACACTTTCTCTGCTCTGCAATGAAAGTTCCACCACTCCACCAATAATTGATATTTCTTCACTTTAATAAGTGGTGGTGGTACACAGATACTCACTTTGAGTGACAAAGGTTTTTTTCTTCTGATCTGTCAAAATATTGTCCGTCGTTTGGCCAACAAACATAAAAAGTACTGAATGAAAATATATGATCCTTATTCAATGTCCTTGCTCATTATTCTCACATTGGCGACGAATGCTTAAAGATGTTTGTGGTAGCTCAGTTTATATGATGAAACTCCTCTAAACATGTAAAGAAAGGGCATGACTTAGTGTTGCTTGTATCCTCCATTATGGGGAACAGCTATGTATGATATGGATCTGCACCCATTCACGTTTTTCGATGCAAAAGAAAATATGTGGTAAAAATAATCCCAGGCCACCAAATTCATACTGTACAGGTAATAAATCCTTTAGCACCACACCAGAACTGGCCGGTGTCAGGGGTAGGAAGGGTTTTTCGATGGGGGGGGGGGGGGCTCGGGATGGAGGACAACTGATAATGAAGTCCAGGTCTCTCGGTGCAGAGCCAGGGAAGGCCTGTGATCACAGACAGCTTGATGTGATTACAGAGGGGGAGGGCTTGATTAGATTGAGGGGTGGAGGAAGAGTAAAAGATAGAAAGGCCTGAAAAAGAAGCAGAAGGATATGCTGCATAAAACAGAGGGAGAAATATAACATGTGAAAGGAGGAGGGAGGGGAACCTGGAGGAACAGCTGCATAAAGGCTATTTATTCCACCGCTGGATCGTTTCCTGGTGATAAGTCAAGTGGAAATGATAAGCTACACTGCACAGCAAATTCCACCTGTCTGTCCTCCAACTCCTCTCTCAACCCCTCTCTCTCTGTCATCCTTCCATTTGACCATGTGCCTCACTTCCACTGGCTTAAATGAGAGAATCCTGAGGGCAGAGCAGGCTCTTGGCAGTTCTCCCACTCATGTCATGCAGTTCTCCTACCTGGGAAGGAGACAGATGGGAGGCCTAAACCCTTAAAAACCTCTCTAAACACTGGTGCCTCCATGAGACCATGAAAAACAGCTGCGCTTGTTTATGGGCTGCTTCTCTCTCCCATCATCATGACCAAGTGGAAAAATGGGATAATGGAAGTGGTGTAAAAAGACATTGAGTTAATTTGTGTGTCTCTGTAAATCCCATTCAAGTGTTTGAAGGCTGCAGAGCTCCACAGAGCCAGAGCGAGATAGAATGAGGAGTCTTGGATTTGTGTGGCTGGCATGAATGAAAGATTCTCTTCTGCTATTCCACAGTGTCACGTTAGGATGTTACAGTGAAACCGATCGTTATTGGGTTTGTGCGACAAAAAGAATGAGACAGCTGTGTGTTCTGACTAACCCTCAGAACACACACAGAACATGGTGGGAAAGTGTGTGTACTTCTGAATGTGCTTCTGTTATGAGGTAGCTTTGGTTTGTCTCCACAATAAATCAATGTTTTCACTCAGCACTTACATATATAGCCTACATATATACTCTTCATATATACACTTTTATCCGTGGTCTTTTCACTTTACCCTTATTGTCTGGCTTTTATCTCTCTCCACAGCTGAGCTGAATGTGGAGCTAGCTCGCCCTCTGAAAATCAACCCCACCCTGGCTAAGCTGGAGCAGGCTAAAGCATACCTGATGAAAGTCCTGCCAAACCACACCTGGGGAACCTCCAGTAACCCTCCTTCTGCTTCCCCCAGCCCCTACTCCTCCCCTGCCAAGACTCTGCCCAGGCCCCCCCCTGCTCACTCAGAGGCCTCCGCCCTGGGGAAGGACAGTGTCAGGGCTCTGGCGCTTTCCTTCCACAAGGTCTCTCTCCACACTGCCCAGATTGTGGTAGTCATGGAGACAGAGGCCCATCCAATGAGGCCCAGTGTGACCGCAGCAGTGTCTGCCATGACAGGAAGTCTGAATATGAAGTCAGGGCCAAGGATCGAAGGTGAGTAAAACCACTACAGCTTTTGCAACAAACTAACAAAATGACATTATGCTGGCAGGGAAACACAATAAATACAAATGACATAAACACAAGGCCCAGTTAATGAACACACGATGCAGGATCCCCTGTGATGCAGTGAAGAAACATCAGATCATATGTGTGTTATCTGACCACTGTTTGAGGGGCCAGCCACTACTAGATGTTATATTCTGAATCCTCCGTGACCCTATGGTCACCTTCATCTTCAAACCAGAACTGTAAAATAGTTGTAAGTTAAAGCAGTTAACAAAAATGTTTTGTTGGTCTGCACAGTGTGACATTGTTGTCAATAGGAAAGTAGAACTCTAATGCTTTAGTCCAGGGCAGGCAGAACTCGTTTCAAACCAGAGACAATTTAAAGAAATAGTTATATATAATGCTAAGTTTCAGTTTGTTGATTCAAGTTTGTGCTCCCCAGCTTCAGGCTGTCAAAACGTGTTCTCTTTTCTCCAGCCCCCTGCTGAGACTCTTCGGAGTCACTCAATATCCAGGCCCTTTTACTCCAAAGTAATAAGGGCCTGGACCTTAAATGACTTACTTTCTTATTTCTTTCATTTTTTCAATGTGAAAATGAAAAAAAAGAAAAAGTGATGTTGCTGCATTGAAAAAAAGATATTGCCACTCAAGATATTGCTGTCAAGGAAATTCTGGAAACAGGTGGAGCTACATTGGAAACAAATGCAATGAATTCACCCCATTTGGTAGATTTGATCATCTGTTAGAGAAACCACGAATGTAAGTCTCAGTAATGCACTACTCTAAATGTACATGTGTCTTTGTGGTGTGTCATGTGCCTGGTACCAAAGCTTACTGCCAACAGGAAACAGTCCAGGCCCTTTGAAATGAAGTCAAGTTACACAGTGCTTCAAATATCCAATACAAAGAAAATAGTGGAGAGTTGTTCTGATCCATGTCACAGTTTAATCAAACAAATATTGATGTGGACAAACTCTATAAAGCAATAGCCAGTGCAATTTGTAATTCAGCTGGATTGAAATGTAGCTAAATAAAAGAACAGCTTGAGTAAATCCATTGTGATTTTCTATGGATACCTATCTCACTGCATAGTGCATATTCAAACTGTCCACTCTGCAGCCTTGTTTGCTGAGAACAATTGGATGTCTTTGCCTTTTTAACATTTTGACACTTGAATTTGTTCACACTGGGAAACAAATACCAGTATTATTTGGAATATTGCTTTTTTTTTAACACATGCTAGCAAAGCCCTGATCTGCCAACAAAAGGTTTGTCAGTAAACTGTAAAGTGAGACGTTTGTGTTAGTCTTGGATCTCAAGTTGTTGTTAGTGCTGTGTGTCTGTTTGATTGCAGGGTTATGTGTGTATGGTATGGGCCTGAGAGAGAAAATATATTTTCATGAGTATGTGTGAGAGCGAGATGTTTGTTTTGGTGTGAGGACCAAACCCTGCCTTCATCATCACCACTGACTGTTGTCCAGGAGGCATCCCACTGTTTCCATTCCAACAATCAGAGCTGCTAATGCTAATGTAAATTAAAAAGCTTCCAATTCTTTTTGCCGTTGGGTGTGAGCCGAAGCGCTGTAACAGAGGATCAGAGATGTTTGCTTTGTGTGTCAGAGTTGTATTTGTTGTGTTGGCATGTCTCCTAAGTGTGACAGCTGATGGAAACAGGGAATGGAAGAGAGTGAGGGGCTGAGATGCCACATACAGGCGACAGCATTCATGATTGTGTGACTGGATGGTTTGTGGACCGGGGTTGCAGGGGGACAAGGACAGAGCCGGGCTCCCTAAGTGCCTGCATGTGTTTGACAGATGTTATTATATAGGGTTACTTCAGATCAAATGATTGCAGAAAATGTTAATTAAATCCTCAAACAATTTTCACTTTGTTTACTCAAATCTGCATAACTGCACAGTGACATAATATTCAGCGCTGCTGCCTGCTCTGATTCTTACCAGCTTTCAGCTTTCATCCAAGTTTGATGTGTTGGCTTGGATAAACACAGTTGAAACTGTGCAATGGAAAAAGAAATGGAGTTTAAAGACAATTGTACTAATATGAAAGCTAATCCCCTCCCACTGACTTTGCTTTCATGTGACTATTTATAGTTGATTCTCTTTCTTTGCACACATAAATACTTTTCAAAAGAAATGTGTTAATAGTAGTTGTTTTTCATTTGTTTGCAGTAAACACAGGGAAGATATGAGTGAACATCAATGATTTGTATAGATTTTGCCCTGCAGTTCCCAGCACTTTGAAACAGGGCCACCACTTCTCTGAAGACATTACAATGAAACTGACGCAGATACAATGTTGGGACCATAGGTTGGGACCAGGACCCTGGTGTTTGTTGACATCCATTGGATCATTCCTCCCCAGTTTGGCTCCAAGCTCTTTGAAATACTGTTTGTTGTAACAGCCCAAAAGAACACAAGGTCACATAGGTTTGTTCGGAACAAGACATAATACGACTTAACTGCCATAAAACTAATGCTGTCATCATGTAGGGAAAAAGCTTCATTTATCTTTGTATTAATATATTCAATTAAAGAGCTCTCCGAGTTAGATCTAATTGACCTCTCGTCATTTTGCTTCATTTCTGAGAGCATGATGAAACAATGTGGAGTAACACATATTGTACATTTCTATGGCACCAAATGCCAACACATAGGATCTGTTTTTCATGTTAATAAGTGTTTTAAAACTAATGTCAGAAGCTATCTTGCTAAACAACATATTTTGTCTCACCTTCATTTTGTCTTTTTTATTTGTTATTGATAACTTAAGCACTCTAATAGATCTTTGTCACACCACACACAGCTTTGGTTTCCCTGAGGGCTCCTCCACATAAGACAACCGTCTTCAGTTACACACACTGATGGCTGGTGACAATAGATGTATGGGCTGCCTGAGCCTCCATCACTCCGCACAGGCCTCTCCACTCCACTCTGTACCTCAGAAAACGGATACCTTGGAAAAGGTTAGGTTTCCTGTTCTGTGACTGTCGGTCAAGAGTTTTCTGCTGCCACAATAAGTCAGCAGTAAGGACCCCCCTGGGAGCGTGCATCGCTCCTGCTGCTGCTGTTGGTTCTCTCCAGGAGAAGCAGGAGACTGATGAAGAGAGAAGGGTAGCAGCGCAACAACGTGTCGATGTTTATCAAACAAATATTGATCTGGACACACTCGGGCCATAGAGGGATAACCATGTTTAGGAATTCAGCTAAAGAGAAAAGCAGGTTGAATAAGGACAATGCAGCCATTGTTATCCTCTATTGATCAGTATCTCAATGAATAGCACTTAGTCAAACGTTCCACTGCACTGTACTGTTTGTAGATATAGATATGGGAAGTCTTTGCCATTTAGACAATTTGACACTTTATAATGTTTTCAAACTGGGAAACAAATGTCTTTTAGATATTGCTGTTTTTTTACACATGATAGCAAAGGCATCACCTGACAAAAAAGAAAGGACCCGTGTGAATGAGTTGTAGTAGGGCAGAGGAGCGGATGAGGGGAAAAGGTCAATATATCAGAATGAGAGGCGGGTGAATAAAGGAGATATAATACAGGGTAGCAGTAACACCCAACCCCCGTCTTTATCAGCGTACGTCCCCAGCTGCAGCTGATGAAGACCCCGGCACCCCCCCCCATCCGTAAAACATCTGGGGCCGTGTACCTGGTAATGGCAGCCCCCCTCTGCCAGGGGACAATATGGAGAGAGGGGGATTAGGTTGACAGTGAGGTGTGTTACCAGATCCTGTGTTAATGAAAAGCAAGTGGAAGCCCCTCATTCCTCCCTCCGTCCACGGCCCACCATTCCCCGAGGTAGGGGGGCATTTATAGTTCAATGAGAGAAAGGAGGGGTGGCGGTCGGAGAGAGAGAGAACATGTGTCTTAAGGTCCATGAAACAAGACCCTCCCTAATCTCTCAGCTCTCCATGAGACTGCCCATCGAGTGCCCCCACTTCCATAAGAACACACACACACACACACACACACACACACACTGTATCGACATACACTGTAACAAGTGCACTCGTTTTCCTTTACATAGAACAACAGACATAACTGCCTCCTGGTCCCCTCCCTCTGTGGACCCCCTTATTCTTCACACTGATTTACCAGCACACTTGTGAAGGAACACTTCTGTGTGTGGAACAAAGTGAATGCCATTATTTATGAATGACTTTTGTTTTATTTTGTTTGCCTGGCTTATCTTTGTTTATGTCAGTTGGTTTACTCTGCTGAAAGAAAGCTTTTCTTTTCCGTTGAACACATTATTTCTGTTCAAATACTCTGGGAGAAGTGTAGGCAAACAAAAAGAGATGTATACCTTCAAATACAAACGTCTGTGCTTGGGAAAGTTTAGCCAACTAATAAATAGTTTAAAATGCGTTAAAATTGTAAATATATCACAAAGAAGACTTGGAAAAAAAGGACGTCCTTCAAGGTATTTGTGAAACACCTGGCTGCTGAGTGAAGATGAAGATGGATGCCGTTAACTGGTTATAGATGTGAAGTGTAAGAAAGCTGTGCGATGACTGTAGTTTCATATTAGAGACTAATCACATCATATGCTGTGTAAGGTGGTCATAGAGTCATTTAATAAAGTCTATAAGTAGAGATTTGGAAACCTCCATCTTTAGCAACATGGTGCTCTTTTTTTGTTATCAAATACTGAGCATTAGTTTTCCATGTAGACACATTACATCATAGTAATGCTTTTTCTTTCACTGTTCCTGCTGGTCACTGCATGTCCTGCCTGCAGCACACCACACAGACACAATGTACACACAGACTCTCCAAGCAGCCAGTTACATTTTCAAAACAACCAAAACCACTCAGAGCCTGAAGCTGTATGAGATGACCGGAACTTCCCCTAAAACCTGATCCTTTCTCAGGACCCATCAGGCTAAAGTTAGGTAAAGAGTAACATACTGTGAAATCTCCAATTGTGGAAATAAATGCCCCTACTTGCAG